TTTGACACATTTGACCCCTGTGACCTTGAAAGTAGGTCAAGGTCATTTTCATTCTCAAACTTTGTTGGGCTCTATCCCAGGAAGCCATCAGCCAAATATGAAGATTCTATACCTTTTAGTTCTTTAGAAGAAGTCGTTTGAAGTTTTTGACATATTTGACCCCTGTGACCTTGAAAGTAGGTCAAGGTCATTTTCGTTCTCAAACTTTGTAGGGCTCCTACCAACGAAGCTTTCAACCAAATATCATGACTCTAGGCCTGTCCGTTCTTCATAAGAAGTTGTTTAAAGGAAAAGTTGACGGACGATGACCGACGGACGGACGGACGGACGGATGAGGCGCCACGGCATAAGCTCACTTGGCACCTCGTGCCAGGTGAGCTAAAAATGGCACGTCAAATCTCATCATTTCTACCATTGAAATTTTCTTTTTTATCCTTTTATTCGACTTAATAAAATATTAATTGACATTAAAGTAAGGAATCAAATTTCCTTCAGTATGGGACAACGTATTATCCATCTGTAAGACAATTGGGAAGGGGATTTTGTCCAAAATATTTGAATATAGTGACAAAAAAGTTCACTTATCCATGAACATGAACTGTTGGTTTGGTTTTCATCCCAATCTGTTCCAGACCACAAAGCCACCAATTCCTGTACCCAAATGACAGCAACGATATCAGAATATACCGGTATATCTCATATCAAAGAGTACCACAGCCTGTTCATTATCATGACACTAATCAATACAACATAAGACATTCCTAAATTAAAAACAATTCCCAATTAATTTCTTTTTTCTTTTGAAACATACCAGAAGCTGAAGTTAAAGGAAAAGTTTCAAGCATAGAAATTTTCTATTTAAACTTTGCAACAATGCTTTAAATTTATAAAGGAACAATTGAATTTATGAAAGTTCTTTAACTCATTCACCCCAGAAATTTCATAATGAACTATTCCAACCTTTGAAGTTCAGGTTCAGGTGTGTCTTTAGGGGTGAATGAGTTTTGGAATATTCCAGAAACTCCAACGTCCATGTCTCATATTGCATGATATCAAAATATTGCTTCTTTTAGTGATGTCACAACCAAACAAAATCTAACCTGACCAAGATAGTTTCTATTTATGATGTCGGAAGACATATGGATTGTGTAAGTGCATTTCGCCATCAGTTTTGTCTGTGTAAACAATTTATTAAAACAAATTCTTGGGATCCAGAAGATGATACGGACATTATGATGAAGACATCCAATATGCCACTTGTTGACTTTCTGTTCATGTGTTACAGGCTCCATGATAGGCACAGGGCAGGTCATGTGACCGCCACGGAATGCAGCAGATAACCATTGCAACCTCGAACATGCATCAAGTGATATGCTGCACTATAAAATGACTAATTGTCCTTATAAACACAGCCATACTGGCTAGGGTCGTATATACAGAAACCTAACAAAACTACACTCATCCCGATAAAAAAAAACTCATATTTTTTATAAATGAGTTGTTTAATATAGTCTACCAGAGAAAGCACTTTCTCTCTTAATCATACAGTAAAATACTATCATGATATACAGCAAAATGTTGAGAGGTTATACTATACCATAGCATATGTACACATATAACGAGAGATCCCAGAGGGAACTTGGCACCCCCAATTGTACCATCTTCATTAATTCTATGTCAGTTGGTTCTTTTCTTTTCTCTTATCTGTTTGATCAGTTTGCCTGTCAGACATCTTAATCAATCTTTTGATCAACCTCAAGTGTTAACATGCATAACCAAGGGGAACCTACATTACAAATTTGAGAAAAATTCCTCCAGTAAATTCTGAGAAATAGCGATTACTAACCTAAACTGTAACAAAATGGCCAGCCAATACGATTTGATACACATAACTAAGAACAAGAGGAAGCATTATGTGAAATTTGAGAAAAATCCCTCCAATACTTTTTGAGCAATATAGGGCTAAGAAGCTTTCACTCCCAAATTCAATATCACCACCTGCCGGCCATCTTGGTTTTCCAATCATCCCCATAATTTGAAATGTGAAAATAGGAACCATTGGGAACCTTCAATTCATGGTTCATACAAACTTTTGACCTCAAAATTTAAGGACTTTTCAAGGTTTTTTCAAGACAAATTTTGAAAATTCAAGGGCTCATTTATATCGCAAAATAAACAAGAGGCCCAAGAGGGCCTGTATCGCTCACCTGAATATTTAAGCAGTCATAGCAAAATATTCTCATTAAATATTATATTGCACTAAAAATATTTCCCTTGCAAACTTTGTTGTCTCCATCTGTTGAAACTACCAGCAAAATATTATTATAAGATTCTATGCTTTTTGATTCTTCTTCAGAAGTTGCTTGACATATTTTTCCCTGTGATCTTGTAAGTAGGTCAATATAATTTTCCTTAAATTTGTTAGCTCTATTCCAAAAAGCTACCAGTCAAATCTTATGAATCCATTCCTTTTAGTTCTCAAGAACAAATCCATTAAAATGTTGTTGACCTCTGTGACCTCTAAAGTAGGTTGAGGTCATTTTCATTTGCAAACTTTGGTGAGCTCTATCCCGGGAAGTCACCAGCCAAATATTATAATTTTATGCCTTTTAATTCTTCAGAAGAAGCTGTTTGAACTGTTTGACATATTT